TAATATAGACTTGCGCTCATCCTATTAAACAAAGAAAATTCTCTCTTTGATATTGAGATTATTGAGGCAGCACCATCTCGAAATTCGTTTAGGTGAAGTTCTTCCAGTATCTTTGTTACTTTTAGAGATACTTGTACTACATACTGAATTTCATTAAGAGCTTAAAACTCATCCCTCACTACAGTAACAAACATAATTATTATAACTAGAATATGGTTATTGCGGATATCAATAATGCTAAAACTATCAACATATCGAGTGACTTGTTGTTACCCCTTGAATCCGTGGATTACCTTTTGAGTAATGACGGTAGGGTTGCCATCATTGGTGGATCTTTGTAGTTTAAGAATTTCAATCACATCCTACTTGTAGTAGATATTACTAAATCTCTATTTAGAGATTTAGTTAAAGTTTCTGCCAAATTCTCGATTGACATTACATGATTTAGGGAAATTATTCCTCTTGATTAATTTCCTCATGTAATTATGTCTTAAACTCACGTGTCTAGACTTTTCATTACATGTGACTTAGTATCTAATAGATACAACTTTGTCACCACCAAGAAATCATTTTTTATATATAAAGCAACACGCTTTTTACTAGCTTTATGTAAAGCTTTAATTACTTCCAAACATTATTGGAGTATTTCTATCAAATCATCACACTAGTCAATCACTTTTTACTAGTGGATCTCATCCATGGGTATTTAATTATCATATTTGAATCAATGATTTTAAAATATATGAATATTCTCTAGATATTCAAACGCCATAATTGGCTTTCACCAATTTTTACCCACTTGTATATTATCCTTATAATTGTACAAGAGATTTCTATCTTTTTTCTCATTCATAGACTTCTTTCTCTTCTATGATTAAAAGAATATATAGATTTATAACTTTTAAAATAAGTTACCCTTACAATTCTTCAATAAAGAATACACATGCAATCTAGTAAAGATGAATTCCGGTAGCTTTGAACTTTCTCATATAAGTTCACAATCATTGTTGGAACCTATTGTGTAGATCACTTATCATACTAGTTAGCTTAGCTTATCTGATAAGTAGTATAGTAGTATAATTAAATAAGCTTATTAGCTTCCATTGTAAATATCAGATAAGGAGGCACACCTATTGGCCACCACCTGCTCGTGAGCTAGTGCACATGGTTAGGTGTAGAATGATTCCTTTTGTTATAGTTTGTTAGGATAGTCTCTTTACACTTTTACCCCTTTCTTCCTTCTATATATTGTACTGATAAAGATGATAATAAATTAAGTTGAATTCGACTGATTCAATCAAGTAATCAGTTCTTCATCTTCTTCAATTACCTTCCTCTTTATCACTTATATTCATTTACAAATTGTTACATTGTATCAGAGCTATGACAACCATAGCTGATATGAATTCTGCTACCAATGAAAACACTACTGCCTTCCAGACTCATGACCTTTCCGATCACTACAGATTGGAGAACTCAGATAATCCGGGAGCTGTTCTGGTGACAGAACTATTAACTACAGAAAACTATCCCACCTGGTCGAGGGCACTCCGACGAGCTCTTAGAGCTAAGAATAAGCTTGGGTTTATCACTGGAGCATGGTCCAAACCTGAACCAGGGAACACTTCTCTTGAGGCTTGGGAAAGATGTAATGACATGGTTGTGTCATGGATCCAAAATGCCATATCTCCATCCCTCAGATCCAGCGTCGCTTTTATGGATGAGGCAAATGAAGTTTGGGCAGAACTCAGGGATCGATTTGCTCAACATAATGGACCAAGGATATATGAATTAAAAAAGGCATTGGCTGATTTGTAACAAGATGGGGTCCCTGTGAGCATTTACTATGGAAAACTGAAAACTATCTGGGATGAATTATCAGTCTATGATCCAATCCCTGAGTGCAGTTGTGGACAGTTGAAAGTACTGGTAGACAGAAACCAACGTGATTGTGTGATTAAGTTCTTAATGGGGCTGAATGAGACCTATGATAACACAAGGGCACAGGTGATGATGCATTGGCTGGAGCTGCGAGATTTACTTTCGGTTCCAGTTGTTGATCAGTCATTTGTATGTATCATTGAGTTTCATGTTGTGCTGATCTAGCTAGTCGTTGCCTACGATGAAAAGTTCATTCAATCTCCAAATTCGTTGGAGGTAGTTCACTGCCAACTGATCGTCGCATGCAAGACTTGAAGGTAAGAAAAACAGTAGCACTTAACTCGGCTCTAGTAGAAAAACTAAATAAAATGAAAATGTAAAATAAAAAATAAAGACAAGTTCGAATTAGTGTCTAAATAACAAAAAATCAAATTAAAACTTAATCCCCGGCAACGGCGCTAAAAATTTGTTTACGAAAATATGTTCCCTTTATAAATCACCGAAAGTGCACAGTTCGTTAGCAAGTAATAAAGTGGAAATTGTAAAATTTCGAGTATTGTCCCGCAAGGATTGATTTAAGTTGATTTCTATTACCGAGACCTTAACCGAATTTATTCAACTCAAGATGATTGATGATTTGGATTTTATAACTAAACTATGATTAAAATGCAATTTAAACTAAGGTTACTTTAATAAATGCAAAATGATCTTGAATGCAAAAGTTTGAAGAAATTAATGTATGAAAAATGTATTAGGATCTCGAATCACCAAACAAGCTCATGTTTAACCCTTATTTCACAATTTGACAACACGACGATCTAGTTGAATAATCAATGTTTTTAACATATTCAATAATCTCTCTCGATTAGAATTGAACATATTCTCGCATACCATTTGACTATATTTCTATGACAAATTCAATACATGAGAATGCATGACGTTTTGTAAATACTTAGAGATTCACGTAAAGTATTACGGTATATTTCTATCTCATATCGGACCCTACAATGATTTATATATTGTTGAATCTAATTCCCTTCTTTCAAATGCATGAAATAGATCACATATACTCACAGAATCACATGCATTTAATTATGGAGGCATTGAAGTGTATATAAATCATTCAACATAAAATATTCGTGTCTTAATGTCAAAATTGCAAAATAAGAAATTAAACGTTCACAAAGCGAGGATCATCATTCTCCTAGTACAATAAAATTTTAGCCTAGCATGAATAAAAATAAAGAACAAGAAAATTGTTTAGGAAAAGACATCACCCAAAACTTGAATATGAATCTTGAATTCTTCAATCTTCAATGTAGAAATCCCTTGATTTTGTCTTCTCCTTACTTTTCAATGAGTTTTTCTCTCTAAAGTGGCATAACCCTAGTTTCTGGACGATTTTTAGCTTTTATAGTTGCCCTCGATTTATTACCCAAAGTGTTGGAACGGAATAAGGAAATATAATTTTTCGCCAAAAATTCCTACCATGCAGCCGCATCGTAGTAATCCATGCGACCGCATGGAATGATCAACATAGCCACTGGAATTCCCTGCATGTGGGTGTGCATGCGGCCGCATGGAAGGCAACAACTTCCATGTCCTTCGTTTTAGTCCTCAAAATTGCCTTGTCATTTGTTTTGGCTTCCCTTGTAAATTCTCTTCTTTCTATCATCCCATGTATCATCAAATTAGAGCTCAATCCATTTATCATCTCTGTTTGTGCTTCTCGTCATCTTTCAATTATTTTCATTCTAGTCCCTGAACTTTCATTTTCCTCCATTTTGGTCATTTTTCGCTTGTTTTCGCATACATTCCATTCCATCCATCAATGTATTCCTATAAACACAATTTATACTGAATTAAGCCATTTTCAAGCATTTATGTCAATAATTAGTTATGTAATGTCGCTAATTACACGTTAGAAAACGCACTTATCACGTATCTATCAGAGATGTCTCCATACAATTATCGTGGAACTTTTAATGTTTGCTTCCAACTGATGATCACAATTGGAATACTGGTAGCCAACCTGTTCAACTATTTCTTTGCCAAGATTAAGGGCGGCTAGGGATGGCGGTTTAGCCTTGGATTGGCAGGGGTACATGCCATCATCATCATCATCATCATTCCATCTTTTTTCCTCTCCGATACCCCAAACTCTCTTGTGGATAGGGGAAAGGAAGAAGAGGCAAAAGCACTGCTCAAGTGCAATTGTGGAGTTGAAAACGTTGATGCTGAATTCAATGATATTCTTGCAGCCAAAAATGAAGCAAGACTAGTACAGAATTCGTGGTAAAATATCTTAAAGAGGCGGTGCTATCGTCCTCAGTTGATTATGTCCATCTTGATCCCTTTCTTTCAACAATTTACTGGAATCAACATGGTTATGTTATATGCCCCTGTGCTCTTTAAAACCATTCGATTTGGAAGTGATGCTTCTCTCATGTCAGCTGTTATTACTGGCATCGTAATGTCTTGGCGACTTGTGTATCTATTGCATTTGCCGATAAGTGGGGGAGAACAACTCTATTTCTTGAAAGAGGTGTTCAGATGCTCATCTTTCAGGTAATACATTAACTCATTTTTAATCCACTTGCAGTCATATTAATTATACATGGTCGTTGCTAATGTAATCTTTTGCTGATTCTTGACGATACAGATTGCAGTTGCAGCTCTTATTGGGGCCAAATTTGGTGTGGGGGGAGATGTGACACAGCTACCACAGTGGTTTGCCATAGTGGTGGTGATATGCATCTGCATCTATGTTGCCGGTTTTGCATGGTCTTGGGGGCCGTTGGGATGGCTCTATGCAATGTAAGTGTTATGCCCTAGGCCCAATCAACTTTGGACATAAACACTTTGAATATATATAATCAATGCATATGTATGGCAATATCTATTATTTAATTGAATTAATATTCTAATAAATTAAATAATAGAATCCGTAGATTCAAGTCTTGGTGATTTGTTAATCACAAGGAGTTGTGATTGTGAGATACAAATTACATATGACTGAATCTTAAATCGTCCGTGGTCGAGGTAATAACGAGATACGGATATCGTTATTACGGATAGACTATCGCGTGTGGCATTCTTACTTGTGAAGTAAGTAGCTGATCTCACAAGCTAAAGTGTGGTGACACTTGAATGAACACGTGGATGTTTTGTTATAGAACAAAACATTGGAGACCCGCTGAGAGATTCCACATGGATAACTATCTAAGTGTTAGTGGTTAATCTCTAACGTTCGGTAGTGGAATTGGTCCTTTGACTTGAGGTCATCATAGTACCTTATATGAGGGCAGACATACTTTGGTGGTGTTGGATGTTGCTCTGTCAAGGGTCGCTAATACAGCATCGTTCGGGTATGTCAAGAATCATATGAAGGTTGTGAATGATCAATAGAGGATTCGTCACTCTTAGATAGTAAGAGATTATGATCTACATTTTATCCAGTTAAGTTAATAATGAAATCCTTGGCCAAGGTGAACTCATAAGTCGGAAAAGAGTTTTCGACGTACATTGACTTAACAGTGGGATAAAAGATATGATCGATAATTGAGATTGACACATATCCATATCTCATAATTGATCGGATCATATTGACGAAAGGATTATAGTTTCACGGTAAACGAACAAGTTTGGTTTTGTCATGCTACGTGATATTTCCCGTCACATGTATTGCCCTGATACATTGCTAGATGTCAATCTGGGACAACGAAAATGAATTAGTGATAAATTAAAAGGGGCGTTTTAATTTATCGATTTTGATTAGATCAAAATAATAATTCACGTCGTTCGGCATCGTGATCGGGAACCTAATGGGTCACACACAAAAGAGAATCAGAAGAATGAGATTTACCAATTAATTAATTGACAAGTGTTGGATAATTAATTAATTGGGTTGTTTATTAATAGGCCCGAATTAATTAATTGGATTAATTAATTCATGGACCAGATTTAATTAATTTGATTAATTAAATATTGGACCGGGTTAAGTTTAATAGATGGGCCGAGCCCATCTGGACTTATATTAATAAGCTGTTAGGGTTTGAAAAACAGTAGAGAATTTCATTATTCTTGCTAGCACAAGAAAAGAAAACCCTAGCCGTCATTCTTATTCTCTGTGTGGATCACCATTGGAGGCTGGACAATTGGAAAGCTTGGATTGCAGATCGTGATCATTGGAGTTCAAGAAAAAGCAAAAGAATTTGTGGAATTCATCAAAGATATAATTCTAATCACAGTTTCTATCTAAACACATTGCAGATCCTCGTTTGGGAATTGAAAATTGTTTTATTTCCGCTGTGTATGATTAAGTAAATTCCCAACATCCAAGTGAAATTTTCTCATTGGAGATCAGGTCAGCTGGTCAGAGTGTTAACGTTGCAGTAAACATGTTCTTCACATTCTTAATAGCGCAGGTGTTCCTTTCGATTCTGTGCACAATGAAGTTTGGTCTCTTCATCTTCTTCGCATTCTTTGTGGTGCTGATGACCGTGTTTTGTTACTTCTTCATGCCTGAGACGAAGAACATTCCTATTGAAGATATAACACAAGTCTGGAGAGATCACTGGTTTTGGAAAAGATTTATGAATGATCCTAATGATCCCGTCAATGCAGCAATCAAGATGGAACAAGTCTGATTTTGTTAATTCATTAATTTTTTTTTCCCAGTTTTCACTTGGTGTGTATATCAGAGATCAGATCTATAGCCTTCTCCTCGTAGGAAGTAGAGTTAACAAACTGTTACTTTTCATAGTTTAGATAACAATTTTGCTATCTTTGTTAACATCTTGATTGTCATCCATGATGATGTGGAGAGCAATTTGACCATTTATTTGAATAATACTTATTCAAATCTATATCAGGTTTTTAACAAATCATGGGATGTCAATCTAAATATCAAAAATAGGTGTCAAAGTAGCTTTATTCTTTTGATAATTGCACTCTTTTTTTAATGGGGTTTGCTTTTAAGTTTTTGTCGTGTTTACTGATATTATATGACATAAAGCTTTCATATTCAATTCTAGGACTCATAATTTTGAGGAATTACTTGAAATGTATTCGGAATAATTACGACAAAAGCTGCCAATTTTCTAAATCGGCTAATTTTAGGATGATTTAAAGAATTATCTTGAGATTCACGAACTTGAAACTCAGAGCAGAATTTACCCAACTTCTGCTTTTTCTTGGAATTTTCTTAACCAACTTGCATCTATCTGCTACCCAACAATATGGAGAAACTGCAAGCCGCAGTTCGAACAAAGGTTCTTTATTTAAAGAAGAGGTCGGGATAAACCCTTTTCATTCATGTACACAAGTAGTCTTCTTTCAATGATGAAATAAGAAAAGGTACGCCCCAACAATAGCACAGGGAAGGGAGAGTTAGAAGCGCCATCTCCAAATGATATTTGACCTTGTAATGTCTGTTAAACATATTGATGAAACTATATATTTTTGAATACAATAAAAAGATGGGATAATTGCAGCAAAGGTTCCAAACCGTTCAAATTTTTGCGCACTTTACCCTAATCTTTGATTTGTGCCAACGGAGATCCCAAATCTTTCAAAAATATGCACCGGAGGTCCATTTGGATGGAAACCGTCCAGTTGACCGTTAGTCAACCAAAAAAGTCAAGATTGATTCAATTTTTACGAAATTGGAAAGGGCAAAATGGGAAATTTACCATTTTCCTCATTTTAAATAGATTAAAAATATATTAATTAAAAAACCAAAAAATAAAAATAAATGTATAACCTTTCTTCCTCCCACCCACACCGACCCTCAGCACCGTTGCCCCAAAGTCGGACACCACC